GCAGGCGGTAGCGGTCCGCCCCGCTGTAGATGGTGTCCGCGTGCACCAGCTGCGGGCCCCCGCCCACGAAGGCCCGCGCCAGCTGCTCCCGCCAGCTGCCCAGGGGCCGCCATGTGGGGCATTCCAGCCGGTGGGTGCCTGGGCTGCTGGGCACGTGGCAGAAGCCATACCCTGCCAGCTGGCAGCGGCCGAAGCTGTCCTGGGACCACACCTGGAGATGCAGCCGGGGCCAGCCTGCAGGATGGACAGAGTGGAGAGGGGAGAGGAATGGGGGGGGTTAGCCTGCTGCTCCTGGGTGGTCCCCCCAATTTCTCTCCTCCACCCCAACGCTCAGAATCCATCACTCTCCTGCTTACATCCATGGCTTCGCATTATCCGTAGCCTCCTAAATAGCCAAGGCCCTTCACATCTGGCCTCTTCACCTCCAGTCCTCAGGTCAGCACCTTAGGCCCTGATCCCCAGGCCCTCTTCCTGTCTCCAGCCTTGTCCTCCTCTGGACATAGGACTTTCATTCTCCCCCATCCAGTCTGCCACCACTGGGCAGCAGGAAACATCTAGCTCCATCCACAGGTGTGCTAACACAGCCCAGATCCTTGCCTGCCAGTCAAAAGTGCTTGGGGAAAACCTGGTACCCTGTGGCTCACATCTGTAATCCCAGCTATTCACAAGATCTCAGTTTGAAGCCAGCCCAAGCAGTAAAGTCTGCGAGACTCTTATCTCCAATAAACCAGCAAAAGGCTAGAATTGGAGCTGTGGCTAAAGTGGTAGAGCATCAGCCTTGAGATAAAAAAAAAAAAAGGAAAAGAAAACAGCTAAGGAACAATGCTCAGGCCCTGAGTTCAAGGCCCAGGACAGGCATTAAAACCAACAACAACAACAAAAAAAGTGGGGGGCTGGGAAGATGGCTCAGTGGTAGAGCGCTTGTCTTGCATGCCTGAGGCCCTGGGTTCGATTCCTCAGCACCACATAAGCAAAAAGAAAAAAGCCAGAAGTGGCGCTGTGGCTCAAGTGGTAGAGCACTAGCCTTGAGCTGAAGAGCTGAGGGACAGTGCCCAGGCCCAGAGTTCAGGCCCCATAACCGGACCCCCCCAAAAAAAAAGTGCTGAAAATTTGGTCCAGCTCCTTCTCTGTTCTGAACCCTCCTCTGGGCTTGGCCCTGTTTTTAGGAGCTGGGGACTCAGCAGTGAACACAGCAGACAAGAATTCCTGCCCTTCCAAGCTGACATTGGAGACAAGCAACAGTAAATAAGCAAATTACAGGGTATGTCAGATGGTGATAGCTGCTCTGGAGAAAAATAAAGCTGGCAAGGGTGGGGGGCAGGGTGCAGCTTGGGGAAGGAGGGATCAAGAGAGCTTCCCTAAGAAGGTGACATTTGAACAAATGTTTAAAGGACAGAAGACACTAGGATGCGTGGGCATTTAGGGGAACAGAGATCCCAGCCAAAGGGAACAGCCAGTGTAAAGGTCCTAAGGTAGCGGGGAACCTGCTGGGGCCATTACTTCTAGATCAGAGAGACCGAAGGTGAAGGGGCAGAGGTGACAGCCAGATCATGGCTGTGGGTGGTAAGGAAGTGAATGGCATAGACCCAGACGGATGATGCTACGGAATAGTCTAGGTAAGAGCTGAAAATGAACAGATCAGGTACTGGTGGAAAGGGGTGAGAAGCTAGAGTTGAGATATGTTTGAGCCTGGCTAACCCAGTGGCTCACACCTGTAATCCTAGCTACTCTGAGGCTGAGATCTGGGAATCCTGCTACCAAAAAGCTAGAAGTGGAGCTGTGGCTCAAGTGGTAGTATCATGCCAACCTTGAGCAGAAAAAGCTAAGGAAGAGTTCAAGCCCCACTGCTGACACCAAAACAAAACAAAAGTGATGGGTTTCAAACAAAGTTTTAAGGCAAACAGGATTTCCTGATGGGCAGGCTGGGGGCTAAGACAAGAGAAAAGATGACGCCAGCACTGGGTGCCAGGGGACCTCCAGCTAAAGGTACAGAATTCTCTGCCTCAGCCTTGACCCCACGCAGCAGCCAGGGACAGCTATCAATTTTATCTTACTTTTAGTTTTGGAGGGCTGTCTTCCTTAGATATTAGCCTCCTGAATACTAGAATTGAGCCAACAGCACCCAGCTCAAGGACAGATTTAAAAAAAAAAACAGCTGGGCGACGGTGGCTCACGCCTGTAATCCTAGCTACTCAGGAGGCTGAGATCTGTGGATCATGGTTCAAAGCCAGCCTGGGCAGGAAACTCTGGGAGACTCCTATCTCCAATAAACCACTAGAAAACCGGAAGTGGTGCTGTGGCTCAAGCGGTAGAGTGCTCGCCTTGAGCTGGAGAGCACAGGGGCAGCGCCCAGGCCCAGAGGTCAAGGCCCTGACCGACAAAAAAAAAAAAAAGTTGGGCCAGACGCTGTGGTGGCTCACACCTGTAATCCAGCTACTCAGGAGGCTGAGATCTGAGGATCGAGGTTCAAAACCAGCCCGGGCAGGAAAAGTCGGAGAGACTCTTCTCTCCAATGAACCACCAGAAAACCGGAAGTGGCATTATGGTTCAAATGGTAGAGTGCTTGCATTGAGCTGAAGAGCTCAGGGAAAATACTCAGGCGCAGAGTTCAAGCCCCAAGACTGAGCGGGGGAAAAAAAGCTGATGTGTCCACGCCTGCTGTGGCTCCCCAGGGTCTTTGGTCGATCGCCTCAGCACTTCAGCTGGGCATCCAAGGCCCAATGTGCTGCCCCCACTGTCTTTGGCTGTCCCACAGTCCTCCAGAGGCCCTGATTCACTTTCCCCCTTGAGACTTCCACAGGCAATCTCTCCCTACCGGAAAACTCTCCCTTCATCCCTCCTCCCTTGGCCCGATGAACTCCTGGTCCTTTGGAGTCAAACTCAAGGCCCTTGGAGCTCTGAGGGCCTCACCTCTTCTGGGCTCACTTGGCCTCTGAGATTCCCCAGTCTTAGCTCTGCCCAGTCTAGGCTGGCCTTCTCTGGAGACAAGGATGGAGGCCCAGAAGGATGGGGTTGGAGCAGAATGTACATACACAGGAGATATATTGGTCACAGATATCTCCCTAGCATCCAACAACCCAGAGTGGGCATGGTAGGCACTTAGTACCTAGCACAGCCTTTACTAGGTACACAGCACTGTTACCAGACTCCCCTTCCCACTCTCTAACTCTCCTAAGCCCCTCCAACCCCCAGCCTCACTCACTGGAGATTCCAGGACTGTCCCTCTCTACCTTCCCTGTACCCTACCTTTCATCCTCCCTCCATCCCAGCCTTGGTCCCATCTCATACACTCAGGGACCTCCTATAGAGCAGGCCTGGGGAGCAGGGACAAGACGTACGCTTCTCAGCCCTAGCTGCTCCAGGGCCCAGCTGTGGTACCCACCTTGGAGACCTTTTGTAGCAAAGTGCAGATCAATGGGGTGGGACCAGTAGGCCATGTCCCCTATCTGGGGGGTGTCCACCTGGGTTTGGCCCTCACGCACCCCAGACAGGAGTTTCCAGGCTGCCCCTGCAATGAGAACCAGGTACAGGGTGGGAGTTGGGAGACAGCTTTCAGGCAGGCTATGTCACTATAGCTAAAGACCTATTTGTAGCCAGGCGCTGGTGGCTCATGCCTAGAATCCTAACTACTCAAGAGGCTGAGATCTGAGGACTGCGCTTCAAAGCCAGCCCAGACAGGAACGTCTGTGAGACTCTTATCTCCAATTAAACACCAGAAAACCAGAAGTGGAGCTGTGGCTCAAGTGGTAGAGCACTAGCCTTGAGCTGAAGAGCTCAGATTGTAGTCTGGGCCAGGAGGATCAGGAGGCTGTCCAGAAGGCAAGGAAAGCTGGTGGGGAGGATGGTGGGTTCTTGGTTGGGAGTTGAGGTACCTGTGTGGATGCCCCACTTGCAGAACAGGCTACTTTCTGAGAAGCCAGTGGCCCCCATGATCTGCCCAATTACGTGTACTTCTGCCATGGTCCCTGGATGGGAATAAATAAATAAATACATATATATGTATATGTATATAGTTCAACCCTATGAGGTAAGTGTATTATTATTCTCAGCTGACAGACAGGGAAACTGAGATCCATAAATTAACTGCAGTACTAGGATTCCAAGCTAGTTTTGTCAACCCATTGTTACTCTAGTTTTAGCTCCTCATCAACTTTCCAGGAAAACAGGGAGGACACCCGGGGCTAAGAAGACTGCTTAAAGATCAGTCTTGAGCCAGGCACCAATGGCTCACTCCTGTAATCTTAGCTACTCGGGAGGCTGAGATCTTAGGATCACAAGTCCAAACCAGCCCAGGCAGGAAAGTCCGTGAGAACCTTATCTGCAATTAACTAGCAAACTACTCAACGTGGAACTGTGGACTCAAGAAGTACAGCACTAGCCTGGGGCAACACATAGGTAAGGGATAGCACTCAGGCCCTTAATTCAAGCCCCAGGTCCATCCAGGTCCATCACCTGTCCCTCCACACCCCCCCCCCAAAGAAAAATGAAAATCACTCTTGAAGAAAGCCCCGCCCCCACGAGACACTGGCTCCGCCCCCGTAAACTCCGCCCCTTGCGTCAGCAGGACCAAAAAAAAACTCCTCTAGGCGCATGCGTACTGGATGCAGGCTCGCTTTAGCTCCGCCTCTAAGCGCTGCGCATGCGTTATTCGTACCTCACTGCGCTTAACGGTTAGAAGAATCGAAGGTGGCTGACGGGGTTGGCGTTCATGGGCCTGACCTGTCTCCACCGCGGATGGCGACTAGGTGAGGCTCGCGCCTCCCCGAGAACCTTTTCTGTTTCCTGGCAGGGAAAGATCTGAGCCGCGACCCTTCCGCCGCCACGTTCGTCTGGGGTTCTCTGGTTGTTGCTAGGCAACAGCAGGCCCCACCTCTGGCTTTGCTCCCGCCCTGCACACAGATTATTGGTTCTAGCTGCCCTCGGTGGGGCGGGGCGAAGGTGTGATGGACATTTCGCCTCTGCCCCAGCCCAGCCTTCTGTCAGTGGGGGGCGTGGCCTGGCAGCTCCATCTTGACTTGGGCAGAGGAAGTTTGAGCGCCAACTGTTTCCTCCAGATTGTCTTCTTTACCCAATAAGCAAATCTATTCGGTGTCTCGTTAACCACTCCCCCCCCCGCCCCAATCCCCGACCGGCGGAAATCTCCCATTTAGCACCAAAGCATAATGTGTCCATTTTCCTGTCTTATAATTGGAAAGAAAAAGTGTACAGCTCATTCAGACACTGGAGAAATTGGGGCGTGGGATTCACTAATGTTTTCAGAGCCCCCCCCAATATTAATTTTCTGTTGGTTTGCTTGGGAATTGTTAGGGTGTTTTGGTTGGAGATTTTTGTTTTGTTTTGAGATAGGGTCTCCCTTTGACCAGCCTGGGCTGGTCTCAAACTCTCAGCTCTCCTGTCTTAAGTCTCCCCAGTGCTGGGACTATAGGCCTCCGCCACTATACCTGACTTTTTGTTTGGTTGCAGTAATGGAAGAATCGAATACAGGGCAAGTAAGTGCCCTGCCACTCAACTACACATACCCCTAGTTCTGAAAGTCCTGTCTTTGATGACTGAGCGCTGCCAGTAATTTGTCCTCTGACTTTGCCCAGCTCTTGGTCTCTAGTTCTTTCGTCCAGGAAAAGGAGAGTGCACACCAGTATTAAGTCTGAGTTTATTTCAGAGCTGTACCTTTCCTGTGCTTTTGATCCAGCTGAATGTTGCTCCTTAGCCCACAACAGCACCATGAGAATATATCCCCTCCTTTTTCATTGTTGTTGGTAGTGGGGTTTGAACTTAGGGCCTGGGCATTATTATCCCTGAGCTCTTCTATTCAAGGCTAGTGCTCACCACTTTGAGCCACAGCTTCACTTCTGGATTTCTGGTGGTTAATTGAAGAGTCTCACCACTTACCTGCCAGGGTTGGCTTTGAACCTGGATTCTCAGATCTCAGCCTCCAGAGTAGTCTTACAGGCAGGAGCCACCAGCACCTGGCTAAACAGCTCTTTTGAGACCTTAATTTTAGTTCTTTTGTTTATATCCTCAGAAATGGGATGGCTGGGCCATACGGTAAATTTATTTTAAAAAATTTTTTTGAGGAACCACCATACTGTTTTCTCTAGCAACTGTGCTACAGTTTTACACCTTGCTTGGAAACTTTTCCATGTCAGAATATGAAGATCTAACTCAGTCTTTTACAGAAACAATTTTTGGGAAACATAATACAACACACAGAAAACAGCACAAGAATAAATAGACAGCGCCTGGGAAAGTGGCTTAGTGATAGAGTGCTTGCCTTGCATGCATGAGGCCCTGGGTTCAATTCCTCAGCACCACATAAGCAGACCAAAAAAAATAAAATAAAACCAGAAGTGGCACTGTGGCCCAAGTGGTAGAGCACTAGCCTTGAGCTGAAGAGCTGAAGGACAGCATCCACAGGCCCAGAGTTCAGGCCCCACGACCAACCAACCAACCAACCAACAAATAAATGAACAGCTTGATTCAACTTCATACCCAGAAACACACTTGATAACCAGAACTCAGCACCAGAAAAGAACACTAGCAAGTGGAGCAGAGCCCCAAGGTCTCCTTTGTGCCTTTTCCTGCCCCCAGCTGCCCCAGGGTAACAACTGCCCTCACTTCACAAGTGGTTTTGCCTAGTTTTTGGTATGATATACAAACAAAATCATACAATCGGCTTTGTTTTATGTCTGGAATCTTTGGTTCAGTGTTTGATTTGTGAAATTCTTTGTCATTTTTTCCTTTGATGCAGACTATTGCTATGTAGGCCAGCCTGGTCTTGAACTCAACTCTGGCTGGACTTGAACTCAAAATCCTCCTGCTTCAGCCTCCTCAGTAGTTGTGATGACAGGTATGGCTTCTAGCTTTCTCCTCTCCTTTTCCATACCTCCTCTTGTTTTTCTTCCTTATCCTCCTCCCCATCCGACTTCTTCTCTGCCAGTATTGGGGCTTGAACTCAGGGTGGTAGCTTCCACTTTTTTTGCTGGTTAACTGGAGATAAGAGTCTCATGAATTTTTCCTGCCTGGGCTGGCTTCAAACCACAATCCTCAGACCTCAGTCTACTGAGTAACTAGGATTATAGGCATGAGAGCTGGTACATAGCTCTAGAGTCTCTCTTTTGTTGGCCTTATCTTTTTTTAAAATTTATCATTGGGTGTGAGTAATGCATTTTCTGCAGGAAAGTCACCAACATGATCTTTGTCCTTTTCAGGGCATCTGAGGGGCTGGTTAAGAGGATATGGACGGTATGTGACATACAACTAGTCCACAGGAAGGCACCACATGCCTGGGGCCTCCTCAGAGGATCCTGGCTGGGTGGAATCTGGTGTTTAACATTCCATCCCAGGCTAAAAAGCCTGGCTGCCCTGACTCCCGGAAAAGGCTGGGTTGGAGAGTGTATACAAGGACGGTGATGGCTGGAGGATTCTAGCTGGATTCAAATTCATCTTTACAGTAGCCGAGGATGATGGGGGGAGGGAGGGGGAAACAACTGGCGCTCGGTGATCTGGTGAAAAACAGGCTGGTAGGAACGCATACCTCATCTCACAAATATGTAAAGAGGGTCCCTCTGTGCCAGGCACTGTTCTAGGCCCTGAGGCACCACAGCAACTGAACTAATCCCAATTTGTTGGCGCCAACTCTGATGGGAAGACTCAGAAGCAATGGGTAATGTGTCTCACTATGCTACAAAGACAAAGCAAGGGCATGGAGCTGCTGAATAACGGGGTCCCCTCCGAGCCACTGTCAGTGCCCCCCTCCAATGGGTTACCCTGCTTGCTCACGTCATCCGCCAGACACTCCAAAAGAGCCAAATACACTTAAAGGCACCATCTGTTCTCCCCAGGAATGGGGCCCATGCCAGCTTGTGTGTCTGGACGCTTGGCACTGTGCCTCGGAGCCCTGGAGCAAGGGAACTCCGGCGGGCCCCACAGCAGACTGGGGAATCCTCCTGTCTGGCCAGATGGAGGATATCAGGGAAAGGAAGCAGTACAAACTGGGTGGGCTTCCTGTAGGAGGTGGAAGCGGATAGGGTGAGGAGATGGGTGTGAATAGCAATGAGCAAACATGGCACATGTTCAGCGTCGTTTCTGTTGGACAGTTGTTAGAAGACTAATCTAAACACATGAGCAATGCCATCACCGCTAAGAGGTGTGGAGTATCTCCTCACCCCCCTGGGTTTTTTGTTTGTTTGTTTTCAGTCGTGGGTCTTGAACTCTGGGCCTGGGCACTGTTCTTGAGCTCTTCAGCTCAAGGCAAATGCCCTGCCACTTGAGCCACAGCACCACTTCCGTTTTTCTGGTGGTTTATTGGAGATAAGAGTCTCACAGAAGTTCCTGTCTGGGCTGGCTTTGAACTTTAGCCCTCAGCTCTTAACCTCCTGAGTAGCTAGGATTTTTTATTTTTTTTTTGGGTCCGGTCGTGGGGCCTGAACTCTGGGCCTGGGCGCTGTCCCTCAGCTCTTTAGTTCAAGGCTAGTGCTCTACCATTTGAGCCATAGTGCCACCTCCGGCTTTTTTCTTTCTGCTTATGTGGTGCTGAGGAATCGAACCCAGGGCCTCAGGCATGCAAGGCAAGCACTCTACCACTGAGCCATCTTCCCAGCCCGTAGCTAGGATTTTGTTGGTGGTGGGGTCATGGGGCCTGAACTCTGTGCCTGGGTGCTGTCCCTCAGCTCTTCAGCTCAAGGCTAGCACTCTACCACTTGAGCCACAGCGTTACTTCTGGCTTTTTCTGCTTATATGGTGCTAAGGAATCGAACCCAGGGCCGCATGCATGGGAGACAAGCACTCTACCACTGAGTCACCTTCCCAGCCCACTAGCTAGGATTGTACACATAACCAGCACCCCCATTTTTATGTTGGTACTAGGGCTTGTACTCAGGGCCTGGGCACTGTCCCTGAGCTTTTTTTTTTTTTTTTAATTTTAATTTTTTGGTCGGTCATGGGCCTAAACTCTGGACCTGGGCACTGTCCCTCAACTCTTCAGCTCAAGGCTAGCGCTCTACCACTTGAGCCACAACACCACTTCCACTTTTTTCTGCTATGTGGTGCTGAGGAATCGAACCAGGGCCTCACGCATGCAAAGCAAGCGCTCTACCACTGAGCCACCTTCCCAGCCTCCCTGAGCTTTTTTACTCAAGACTGCTACTCTACCACTTGAGCCAGAACCCTACTTCCAGCTTTTTGCTGGTTCATTTGAGATAGTCTCACAGTTTTTTCACTTGGGCTGGCTTTGAACTGTGATCCTCAGATCTCAGCATCCTAACTAGCTAGGATTACAGGCGTGATCCACTGTCACTGGACTATGCCTCTGTTTCTTGAGGGTAAACGAAGAGCTGCTCACTGGGCACAGATGGCTCACACATGTAATCCAGCTATTCAGGAGGCTGACACCAGAGAATTGAGATTCAAAGCCAGCCAGGCCAGGAAAGTCCCTGAGGCTCTTATCTCCAATGAATCACCAGAAAACTGGAAGTGGAGCTGTGCCTCAAAGTGGTAGAGTACTACTAGCCTGTAGTGAAAAAGCTCGGGGACAGCTCCCGGACCCTGAGTTCAAGCCCCACAACCAACAAAACAAAACAGAAACAGAGCTACTAGCTGGGTGCTGGTGGCTCATGCCTGTAATCCTAGTTACTCAGGAGGCTGAGATCTGAGGACCACGGTTCAAAGCCAGCCTGGGCAGTAAAGTTCGTGAGCCTCTTATCTCCAATTAACTACCAGGAAAACAAAACAAAACCAGAAGTGGTGCTGTGGCTCACGTGGTAGAGCTCAGGGACAGTGCCCAGCCCAGAGTTCAAGCCCCACGACCAACCAAAAAACAAAAAAAAAATACCCAAAACAAACAAAAAAACCAGCTTCTGTAAGGAAGATGGAAGGAAGCTTTGAACTCCAGGAGCTGCTGGGTCTTGTATTGAAATCAATAGAGCTGAGTGTTCTTGGAGCAGTTGCTTAACCTCTCTGTGCTTCTTTCCTGCCACGTGAAACAGGAGGCTCGGGATGCATTGTAAATGCGCCCGGGGCCATATAAAAGCCTTACACCCGGGCTCAAAGCCGTCGCTGCTGTCATTATGGAACCACAAGAGACAAGGGAGCGGGGGCCAAGCCAGGACAGCCCGGGGATCGGGGCGGGGAGGCGCCCCACGCCTTGACGGGCGCTCAGGCCTGGGTTTGGGGGGTAAGGGCTTGCTGCCAGGGACCACTCTCCCTCCTCCTCCCCCAACCCACGGCGCGCGGGTGGCGGCCGATGACGGCCTTCCAAGCCCCGCCCACTCTGCAGCGGAGGGGGCGGGGCC